TTGTAGATGCAAACTGTCAACCTAAGGAATGAGTTTACAGGCTTCTCTAAATACTCAGTCGTGCTAATTTGTTCATTAGCCTGTTCTCCATGACTTTAGTGCACAGCAACTGGCCATGCCATAATTAATAAGGGATGGTCTTTTTTCCCCTTCTGGGGAGTGATTTTTCTGGTTTAAAATTCAGTCACTGTAGTTTAGTAATACCCTGAAATATTGAAATACAGTAAAGTATTGATTTGGTGAGCATGTCTGTTATGGCATCCCATTGGCTTGATCCTGTTGACTTCAAATGAGATCAGTGAGCATGCAGTGTTTCTAAAAGTCAGGTTACTTACTAAGATGCTGTGGAATTAAAGAGAGACCAGTCTTCAATAAGAAACATTGTTTACAACAGCAATATGAACATGAAAAGAAGCTCTACTGGAAGTGGAAGTACCTTGGTGCTACTGAAAGATATTGAAGAAAATGGGTGCTGGTAGTCTGAGGTCAACTTTGCATAATTCACAGTGTAGATGTATTGTGTAAAATGTGTTAAGACACTTCATAATCTGTCTACAGACATATAATTGTCCTGTGAAGTACAAAGTGGTTGGAGTTATCTCTTCATCTCTTTCACAGAATCCTACGTAACTGCCACGATGACGCATCCCGATTCACATGCCTTTTAGCGAAGCCTGGCTGTGACTACCTAGAACAGGAGGACTTCATCCTGCTGCTTCAGGTACCTGCAACAGCTCAGCGGTGAATGGATGGGGAGAGCACTATGTTTGTTTTGTAAATTCTTTATTTTCATGTCTTTAAATGTTTACCAACAACATGCAGATCTTTGGTTTGAACAGCACCTGGGTGGGATTTATTTTGGAATGAACTATAAACATTTTAAGTGGACTATTTGGCATAAGTGCCAACCAGCTATATATCTTGCTAAAGTTGCTGAGAATTGTCAAAGCTGTAGCCTATTGTTAGGATTCGTATTATCAGTGCCTGGTGACCAGGCTGAAATTTGCCCCATTTCTCTCGGTGGTTATTGGGAAAAATGCCTGGTGCTGTTGATACTCAAGTGCAACATAAAATCCTGCTAGAAAAGTTGTAGAAATTTCTTGACAATTAAATTTCTCTAGCAAGACTACCAGATACAATATCATGGGGAAATCTTTGCAAAATATTTGCAGTTCCAGTTGTTCTTTATATGCCTGTAAACCTGCTAGTGCCAAAGTCTTGCTGCTTTTTTTTTTTTTTTTTTTCCTAATATTCAGGCTAATCTGAGTGTCCTGATTTCATTTCTTTCTTTTTCTTTCATTTGCATGTGATATTTTTAACAAAGCAAAGCATCATTCTTTAACGATATGTGGCTGTTTAGGCAGGCTCTGGATAGGTTTAGAGTTTCCTTGTAGTTTGTCTATGAATCGGGTGTATCTGCTCCTGTATCTGTTGATACTTTGGAGCTTTTCCACATATCCTTGGATTTCTCATGCTGTGTTGCCCTCTATGCAAAAGCTCTGTGGAGATGCTGCTTTGGGGAAAGATTTTGTGTCTGCACTGGATGTTTCCATGTCTCAAACAAAACTGGGACTGTGATGAGTAAATTTGCTCATGTTCCTTTTTGTGTTCACTGGGCACACTGCCTTTTCTGATTGCCCCCTAAGGGCACTGTGCCCACTCTATCCCTTTGCCATGTCATGGTATAGATACAGCAAAATTTTGAAAACTCTTCTTAAGTGCAGTCAGACATGTAGAAAATATGCAAACATCGATTCATACAGTATCTGAACTGATATATTCAGGATCTGAGCAGTTTCACCACGTTTTTGGTCATGCATTTCCTGGCAAATTTGGCATCATGAGCCAGTGTTTGGCTTCCAAAAAGCTGATCTAGAGAAACAGGCATCTCCACAGGTAGTTCAAGTAAATTTTGGAAAAGCACTGATCATATCTTATGCATTCTGAGGCTCACAAGAGCTGTCATTGTTGTGGATGACATAAAAGGTAATTTTCTCAGCCTTTCAGGGAATGTTTATTTCTCACACCTATCTCTAATCAATGTTAATATCTTCAATGAATGGAGAAAAAAAAATATCTTGGAGAGGAGATAGTTGCATGGTCAACTAGTTTTTTTGTCTCATTCAATGAAAATGAGTTTTCATCTACTCACTAACTCTCTTCCTTTGTTTTTCTGTCCTTAAGTAAATCAAAATGGCCCAACAGGTGCGTATTGCCTGGAAAATGTATTCTACTTTTAATTCTAGAAGGTTCACTTTATAAATTAAAAGATGTCATTTCAGTTTTATTGTTAATGCTGCGAATACAGTTTCAAAAGTAAGCAAAAGTATTGGTTTGTAAACCCAGTAACTTCTAAACATTAAAAGGAGAAGAAAATCTATTTCATTTGGTCTTATCTTGCAGGATGTGGTGGAAACGCACCCTGGCTTGACGTTCTTGAAAGATGCTCCGGAGTTCCATTCTCGGTATATTACGACGGTAGGCTCTTTTTCCTTTGGTTTCCTGCTTGTGGTCCTGTTGTACCAACCCTGCCTTTGTGACTTGTCACTGTTTCCATCAATGAATCATTCAGTTATTTAAAAAAAAAAAAAAAAAGGTATTTAATATTACTGGCAATCAATTACTTTAAGAACTACTTGCAAAGGAAAATTTAATCTGCCTATGTGTACAAGAGGTTATTCAAAGGTTAATAGTGATTCTTTCTGGTCTTAAGCAAATCTATAAAACTAACTTTTTTGGCCTTTAATCCTGATAAAGGAAAATGAGAGGTCTTTCTTTGGTCTTTGGGAGCTGCTAATTTACCCCTAGTTCTGTTGAGACTTGGTAGGCTCTATATTTGTAGATTTCTGTCACTTGGGCATGGAGAATCTGTGATTGTTCTGTGGTACAAAGCATCTGTTGCACACAGGGCCCTACCTCCCAACTGTCCTGCCTCTTGGTCTTGCCAGAAAGCCTGTCTAGTCTTTCTGAGTCTCTGAGCTTTTGTGACTACTGTTTGTTGTTGGGTTTTGTTCTGTCACTTTGTTCCAACTTCGCAGTCAGCAGTTAGCCCAGTGATTTACCTGATTAATTTGTTACTTTTTTTTTTTAAGCCTTTATTTTGTCTTGTGTTGAGCATGAATCTGGATAAAAGGTATAAATGTTAGGATGTTTTATCTCTGCAGTGGAAAAAAAGTCAAATAAATGACAGACCTGATGGGAGCTGTATCCCAACAGGACTCTAGGGCTTAAAGTTTCTCCTGTTTGCTTGCCAGGGTCTGCATGGGGGCCAGCTGCACCACATACTGGCAGCTGGGAAATTACTGGCAGACACAGGCTTGTTCCTTTCCTGTCAGGAGCAGATGGCAGAAAGGCACTGTTGGTCTGGGCAAACCCTGAACTGTCACACTAATGTTTTATGGAAATGTATAACAAGAATCAATTTTAAATATTCTAGATGCACTTGAACATGACAGTGAACATCAGCGTTATCTACATATTTAGTCCCCATGGAGCAAGACAACAGATACATTAAGTGTAGTAATTGGCCAGAATAGGTGCAACGATAGCCAGGGAATTATGGAGAAACATGAATGGGTAAGTGTAGAAGGTGCCTGTGGCACGTGTACTCTGGTATTTGGTGTATAAAGTACATGGAGGGGCATGAGCTGAAAGATTTAAGGTCACGCTAGCATCTAGCATCAGTTCCTGACTGCAGTATCAAGCAGTTGTTCTTTGCTGGTGAGTGGGTCAAGATTGGAATTTGTGGTTGTTCTGGTGCTGGCTGTTGCCTGGTGACAAAGGCAGTTCTGTGCATCTGCCTTTCCAGGTTCCTCTTAAGTCACATACTGTTTCTGTATTTTTCATGGTCTAAAGGAGGGAATAAAGGTAAGAAACAAATGTCTTTCTGGAGTAACCTGACAAATGATTACCTTGGGTGTCCTGAAGCAGCAATTGCTGCACTTTCTGGACCTCTTTGGGGCGCAACACATGTTTTGGTCTGAGACACCAGCTGCGTGAAGCAGGGGTTCCATGTCATGGTTTGTGTCCAGAGGGCAACTGAGCACCAGCAGCTGCTCACTCACCCCTTCCCCCTCAGGACTGGGAAGGAGAAAATAAAGCAAAAGGCTCAGGAATTGAGATAAGGATAGGGAGGGATGATTCACCAGTTATGGTCATGGGCAAAAGAGTCATTAGGGGAAGTAAAAAAATGTACATTGAATTCAAACACTAACAATAACCACACTTAACTGAGTAGGACAGTGAGAAATACAACTGACCTCTCCCTTCTTCCTGGCCTCAGCTTTGCTCCAAATTTCTCTATCTCCTCCCTGCAGCAGTGCAGTGTGTAGAGGATTGGGGGTGCAGTCAGTCCTGCTGCTCCTTCCTCCTCAGGGGAGGACTCATCACACTTCTCCTGCTCCAGCGTGGGGTCCCCTCACAGGAGAACTTCTGTGCCATGGGTCCTTCCCAGGGGCTGCAGCTCTGCCTGCACTGCTCCAGTGTGGGTCCCTCCCAGCACCAGACTGCTCCAGCAGGGGCTGCCCTCAGAGTCCCGACCTCCTTCGGGCACAGCCCCTGCTCCGGTGTGGGGTCCCCCACGGGCTGCAGGTCAGAATTTGCTCCCCGGTGACCCCCATGGGTGCAGGGCATGGCCTGTCCTCTCACCGCGGGCTGCAGGGGGTCTCTGCTCCGGTGCATCTCCCCATCCTCCTCCTTTCTTCCACTGACCTTGGTGTTTGCAGAGGGGTCTCCCTCACAACTCCAACTCCTCCTCCCAGGTTCCTCTTCTTAAATATGTTATCGCAGAGGTGCAGCCACTGTCACTAATTGGCTCAGCCTTGGCCAGAGCTGGGTGCAACTTGGAGCCAGGGGAGCTTTGAGAAACTTCTCACAGGGGCCACTGCTGTAGGCCCCTACCCTGCTACCAAAACCCCACCACACACACAAACCCAATGCATTCCAAGGTAACTGAAATGCAGGCTGCTACTAAAAAAGGCAACACCTTTTCCTTCTCTCCTTTTCAACAGCTTCCCTTGTGCCTGGGTGAGGTCTTGTGTGACCACCATAAAGCAATCACAGATCTGGACCCTTCATGAGTATATGAAGCTCTTCAGTAATTCTTGATTCTGCTTGTCTCCACTGTGTTTCCCTACTTCAGCCTGAGCCTTTAGGCACCCTTACTCACAATACTCTGACAGAGGTGACTTCCTAAGCTTGCTTCCAGGCAGCTAAGAAACAATAATGCTTGTGGCTGGGCCAAATGGTGTGTAGCTGTGAATCTTATAAAGCTGTGATGCCCTTCCAGACTCCTCGTGCTGGCAGGGCAATGCTGTTCTAGGTGTCTGTGCTGACAGACGGATTCCTTCTGAGCCCAGTGTGCTTGGCCTTGGCAGATCACTGCGTTGGAGCAGAGTCAAGACCCTGGGAGACGGACAGTCTGTTGGGTCAGGTTGCTCCCATCTGGAGTGGCAGTACTTGGCCTGCCTCAGCAGTGGCTCTCCTCTCTGATACCAGGAGTTCCTGTTTCTCACATCTCCTTTCACAGAGTTTGGCACCTCTCTCTTTTGAATGTTACAAAATTCAGTAATTCCACCAGGAGGTAATGAAGGAAACAGCTTTGTCCTTGGATTTTGAGACTACTTGGATTCTTTTAATCCCTTCAAGGTAGAGTGCCTTATACCTATTTACTGTGAGAGAATGCTGTATTTGCTGCCAGCACAAGAATTACATTTTATTTTTGTGTTACAGATGAGGGCTGTAAGGAGACACTGGCTTTTGCGTTCATTGCTAGATACAGCATCACTTGGTTGAAATCACCTGGAGAGTAACCTAACAGTCTAGTGTGGGTAAGATGTGTATGCACGTTTCAATTTTTTGTTTGCCTACCTCTGCACCTTTTAGAGGTGCCTTTTGGATACAACAGGCTGTAATTTAATCTCTATCAGTATCTGTGAGCTGTTGTATTACCAGTATACTAAACTACTTGTTTCTTTCAGCAGAGACAGACTCCTGAAGCTGGCGAAGATGATGCAGAATATCACGTGGTGTTTATTGTAAAAGCTTTACAATGTGACTTCTCCCAGAATATTCAAACAAGGCTCAGTTAGCACTGCATGCTGTTGTTGAAAAGCTGAGTCAACTGAAAAACAGTTTGGCAAAACATACTGCTTATTGAAAACTGCTTTATCTTATGCAGTATTACCAATATGAATGTACATATACCAATATGTATGAAAGGAGAGAATGGCCTACAGGATTTAATAAAGCTTTGTTTGTGGGTTTTTCCAGAAATGATACTTCTTTTGTTCTTTTATGGGAAGACTGGGGAAAGGTCTAGAACCGACCTGTCGGTGGTTTGGGTCCTGGAGGTAGATTACATGAGGATAATGGGCAAATAGGAAGGGGCTCCCTGTTACAAAAGCATGTGTACTGAATTCAAAATCAATAATCTTCTGTGCTGGGAAAAATGAAGCCAGTTATGGCTTTCAGTAAGGCATAACTGACAAGTGTGGCTTGAATGCTGTAAATCATCTTGGGCTGTGTGATTATGTTCTAGGATGTTTCCCAAATGCTTCTTTTGACAGCTTGGTTTTCACAACCTGGAAAAGAGAGAAGTATTGACATTTTATACTGATAAATATGCTATGTACTATCCATTGAAACTGGACCATTATTTGAATAATAAAGCCTGTACTGAGTGACTGGACATGGTAAAAGAGATCCCACTTTACCTCTGAATGCCTTATTTTAACAGTTAGGTGAGGAGAGAGCAAATGGAATATCTTTATCAATACAGTCTGATACAGGAACAGTTTCTTACATGTCATGAAGAGGGGGTTATTTTGTTGTCTTTTATTACCCTGCAGGCAAAGAAAAATTGCTGGTTACGGGTCTTTTTTTTTTTTTTTTTTCATATTCTTGGGGTTGTTATTTTTGAGTCCTTAGAATGGTGTGAAAACACTGTATCTTTAAGCATTGCTTCAAATTTGTCAGGTGTGATAATGAGTTATGTACAAGGTGAGTCTCACTTCATCCTCTAAGCTGTTGTGCAATCTGGAAGCAAAGGCCAAATGAAGTCCAAAAATAGTCCAGAATGGCAGCAGCTGCCAGAGGCATTAAAGAAGAAACAAACATACAGCTCTTTCATTGTGCTTAAGACCAGAAAAGATCATTGTGATTACCTAGTCTGACCTCTTGCATTAGCAAGAACATTGCTCAGTGAGTGCTATAGTTAGAACAGATTGGTTTGTTTTTAATTGAATTTACACCCAACTTTAGAAGGGCATCTATCTTTGAAGTCTGGAGTGATAAAGCGCCTGCAGTGTTTCTTTGGAGTTGTCCCAGTGGTTAAGCAATGGCAGTGTAACAGTAGTTGATTCTTATCTGTCTGAATTAGGCTGATTCTCAGCTTCTGGTTATGTATTTCATGAGAGACAAAAAGTCCTCCTGCTGCCCAATATCTCCCCATGTAGGCTTTTAAGGACCATAATAGCTACCAATAGGTGCCATGTTCACCTAAATTCAGTATATTCCCTCCAGGATATATTGTGAGTCTTCAAATCATTCTTGTTGCTCTCAAAATGACTTGTGCTCACCAGCAGTTACTGTCTCACTAATCTGTGTATCCCAAAGCAGACTGTTAGCAACAACTTCGTTCTTGGTTCCAGATTTTTTTCTGGTCTGAGAACCAGTGTTTGTGTGAAAGTCAAAGCATGGCTCTTAAATGGTGATTGCCCACTCAAAGCTAGTTCTAGGCAACAAACCCATCTCGTTTAATTTAACTGGATTAATCCCTATAATGTCCATATTGTGTAAAATTAATTGTTGTGTTGGAATAGCATGCACTATTAAGGTTTACCAGAACTCTGGGATAATATGTCAACATAATATCAGAGAAGACCAAAGGTTTGTTTGTATTAGGTTTGATTGATGAGAATTATATTCCATAGATTTCAGTGCTGATAGTCAAATTAATTGTATTTCTGGTTTCACTTGTTGAAGATGTTTTTGTTTCTCCTCTTGCATGTGCTTGAGCACACATCTTCATTTTCCTCACTTTGATATTTGACAAGCTAACAAGAAGCGGACTAGGAAGGGTTCAAGCTTGCTTTTTTTTTTTTTTTAGGTGCTTGGGAGTGTACTTGGTCTCATACTGTGAACTGTTTCTCTTGGGCTCTCAGAAGTCTGAGAGCTTTTACTCACTTTCACTAAAGGCAGATCAGTAAAGGAGACAAATGAGGTTAACACCTACCTAAGATAAATGCAGACAGATAATCTCTGTTGCTTACTTTCAGTGGAGCCACCCAGAGGATGAGGCATTGTTATAGACACAATAGGTCAGACAGCCATTGTGGCTTTCATTTACATGTCCTCCTTCCTCTTCACAAGTCCTGATTTTTTTAAATTTTTTTTTCCTGATGCAGAACACTATTTTGAGTGAGATCTGTGCAAGCTACAGTGCCTAAAACCTGAAAACCTTCATTTCAGAGCACTCTGAACATATTGCCTTACAGAAATCATGCATCTGCATGCTCAAAGCTGTGAATTAAGACCAGTGAAAATATTTGTTGAGTGGAAATAGATAATACTGTTTCAGAAACAAATGTCACTTTCAGACTGCACAGTGAATTAAGGATAGTAGTATCTACAAAAAGATCACAAACCAGTTTTCAAAAAGTAGTCCTCTTAGGATGAATAAAGTTACTGTATTTAAATTCCTGAACTGGTATATTTGAAGAGTTGATTTTAAGAGCACTGTTCATGTGTTGCAGGTTATACAGAGAATATTCTACACAGTAAATCGATCCTGGTCTGGGAAGATCACTCTAACAGAGCTGAGGAAAAGCAACTTCTTGCAAGTATGTAATTTCTGCCTGAACAAGTAGACAATGCATCATACCTCTGTTGCTGTAGCTATATACTGTATAGCAAGGGGGCAGTGCCTGTGTTGTGGGGAGGTCGGCCAAGCAGTGCTCAGTGGAGTGCCGGAGCTGGTGAAGGAGTTGTGTCTGAGTTGAGGGCAGACCAGGGCCTGGAAGCAGCCAGGAGCACACTGATAGAAGGCCAAGGGGCGACTGTGCACCTGCTCTGAAGCTACATTGAGCAGATTGGCTCTTGACTCCTGATCTAATCAGAGGAAGGGAAGCAAGACACAGCAGTGCACCTGTGTGAAGTGGCTTGCTGAGCTGCCAAGAGTAGCTGCTGGGTTGCCTACCCTACATGGTGGGTAGGACAGCCAATTTCCTGGCTCCCAACCGGCAGTCTGCCCACCGACAGTTGGTCAGGCATGTTGTGCTGTGCACTTGCAAGACCATGCATCTTGAGAGCTGATTTCTGCTTCAGCTGTAGACTTCTTCAGAAAGGCGTCTTTATTCTTCAGAGTAAACCTAAAGTTCTTGTCATGTATCCCTACGTTGGGCAGAGTTTTCAGGGTTTGGATCTTTGTTCTCTGTATATTTTGCTCAAAAGAGCAAAAGGTTAAAAATGTCTGAGGCTGTTCAGCCCAACCCAAAAAAGCTAGAAACTTTTTAGCCTGAAAGGTTAAGAACTCAGCTAAGGCAGTGAAACTTCCCCACTGCATCCTGTTCTCCCTTCCAGATGTAGTGTGCTGTCTTCCTCAAAAGCCTCAAGCATGAATTCATGCTCTTCCTCCTTTCAAATATCTTCTGCCCCACTGATCACATCAGCTAATGAAAAAAATCAGTGCTCCCTTGGATTGTCTCATGCCAGTCGGAGCCTTCTGATCCCAGTTCCTCCTCTGTTATAAACAAATCCAACTTACCCTGCCTCTTTATTCACTCGTTTTCTCCCTTTATACACTCTTCCCCTTTTTCTCCTTGCATATCTACTCTGCCTTTCATATCCTACAGCAGGGAAGTTCAGTTCTGGGACCATAATTTTGCTTGGGCAGCTCTTTGCTGCATGTGTAAATGGTATATTTTGGCATGAGCTGTAAAAGAAAATAATTAGTTACTGAAAAACCTCCCCAAGTGATTATCATCTGCCAAGAAATGGAGAGACCCACAAAAAATCTGAAGAAGCTAGTGACTGACTGATCAGAGGTTTTTAGACTTGAGTGTCAGCAAGTCAGAACAGTGTAGGTCTGGCAATGCCATCCTGTTGTCCCTGCCTGAAACTACTGAACCTAGTAGATAGCAGGATGTGAGAGTTTTGTTGAGACTCAGGTGGGTTCCTTGGATGTGAGATAGCATCAATAGTTCAACATCAATTTTCAGTTTAGATATAGCACTGCATCTGGTTTTATGGTTATGGGTAGAAGGGCCACTAAGCCTGCCTGCTTAGAGACACAACTCCCTGGGATAGCACTCAGGCTGTCTATCACCTCCTCCCTTCTGAGAGGCTGCGAGGGCAGGGGAGGACAGACTTATAGCTCACTTGAGTCTATGAGCTTTTTCACATTCCTGCAGTCATGAAGTCAAACATGCAATACTCTCTTGTCAGTGGGAAGGTGGAGAGGAGGGCAGAGGTAGATGTGAAGTAGAAATGAAACAAGGATGTTGTCACTAAACATTTTCTAGCAAAACATGTTAACAGATGTTATGGTTGGAAATCTGTCTAAGCCTCACAGTTAAACCAGGCTAATTCCTGTCAGTGGCAGCCCAGGAAAATCAGTGTGATTGTCTTGATCTGTTTGGGATCCATTCCAGGCATGAGACAGGAGGAAGATTTGATTTTGCCCTTTGGGAGCAAGGCAAGGATGTGTGAAGATATATCTTAGTTCCTATGGAGAACTGTAAACTTGCTGTTGTAAATGGCTCTAAGAGTCTCTGGTGCAGGTCAAAAATGTTTCACAAATAATGGATCCTAGCTGAGACAGCAGTTGTGTTCTTGTTTCTCTCTCTTCACTCACTATAGCTGGAAATTAGCAGTTGTTCATGGAAGTGGCACAAATATTGTGCATATATACGCTAACCAGGATAGCCAAGCCAGATGCTCTGTAAGTGCCTTTTAAGGAATGCAGCAATAAAATCTCCTATAGAAAGGCTGCATTTTGGATTAGCTCTTAGAGCTGTGTTCACCCAACTTCCTCAGAGGTTGGAGGACTTCAGCTGCTGAACTACCTCTTTGTCTAGATTTAACTTCCCACTTTATTTGTACTCTTTCAGACTCTTGCTCTCTTGGAAGAAGAAGATGACATAAATCAGATCACAGATTATTTCTCCTATGAGCATTTCTATGTTATATACTGTA